ATCTCATTGTGATATTTATTAATCGAAATATAGTGTACATAAGTTTGAATGCTTCTTTTTAAATGGAGGCAGGATTATATCAGCGGTAGGATTATACAGTATAATGGAGGCCATGTGGTCAGGCCATGTACGCCTCCACGGATTGAAGCAGAGAGTTCACAGCCTTCCAGCGCTGAGAAAGGAGATTAAATCAATCTGCTTAACTATTCACAAGGTCTGCAAACAAGCTGTGTTAGCAAGCACAAGGAACACTCGGTAGACTATGTGGTGCTATGCTTTATTTATTGAGCATCAACCTACGGTGCAAGTGTTCTTCTGAGGGTAAGTGATGTTGTATTATATGCTTTGGTCCTAGTTGATCTAATTCGTGAAGGCGTAGTCATAAAGTTGCATAATAGTTTTACCTGACTAAAGCTAAACTAAGTGTTGTATGTGTGCCGGGGATGTGCGATTTTTCCTGTTTTTGGGTCGCGCCATCCACCATGAATAGTAATATCAGCACATATATAGACTGTGCACAGGTTACGCTGACCATGTGAAGTCCCCTGATCTCATTAACCTCATTACTGAGCTATTGCTAGCTTTCACATGAGCTCTCACCAAATGAATGGACGGGCTGATTTGTAATGAAGCCTCATTTAGCCCTCTGTCATTAAATTACATTTTAAAATCTTGAACATGTTGGTAAAACATAAGGAAGTTCTGTTTAGCTCATAGGATTGTTGTGGACAGGTTTGTTGGCTGGAAGCAGCCCCTGCGGGGGTCACAAGGAGCAGCCATGGGGGCAGGACGACAGGTCAGACTCCTGCTGTGGAAGAACTGGACGGTTCGCAGGAGGCAGAGGGTAAAACTTTCTCATCCATCAGCTGCACACTACAGCTGTCACAGTGAAAGTTACAGTTGGCTGAAATGTCTCTACATGAAGGATTATTTGTCATATTGATTTACATCAAAAATATCCATACACACCAACTTATCTTCTGCTGCCACTTTTTTTTTATTTTTTAAACATAAGTCTTGAACATTTAACTAAACTAAAAATATAACTTAATGTATTTAAAGCATCTTTATTGCTTTATGCTGCAAACTTGCAAAATCTGTCACAGGTCAGATTAAATTAACACATAATAAACATACATCTGAGTAACATGTACCAGTTTTCATCATATCAGATAACATACTTTGCATTATAGATGCACAACGAAGACTTCAATGTATTTCCGCAGTATGCCGCTACGTGCTTGATTTCTATAGCGGTATCCTCTTACATCATTGCGTATTATCGTTAAACTCGGTGTTAATTTACAGCTCGATCTGTATTTACGGAGTGAGAATGTGGAGCCCGGGGATTATTGGCCTACTGCATCAGTTTACCAGTTGTTACCTGGAGACGCATATAAGCGTTTCCATAGAAGGCGACCGGACTTGTTTTTAGCTCTTGACGACGTTTCATCTCTGCAGCTTGCTCATTTATAAGTCACTCATGGGGAGGCCCAGGTATTTATTGGATGAGAGGTGGAACGTCGTCAAGAACCTAAAAGAAGTGCCTTCTATGGATGCACTCAGGATGACTTGAGCATCAGAAACACTTTGGTTAACATCTTTTAAGTGGATGACTCACTGAAAACAAACTTCACTTTTTTTTAAAACCAGGTCCGTTTCTTCATGGAGATCATGTGGCCTGTCATGCTGTTCATGGGACTGGTGTGGCTGAGGAGAGTGAACCCGCTCTACCGTCAGCATGAATGTGAGCAAACAACCCTATACCACAAAAACGACATCCTCTGTGCTCGGCTGTATTCGTAAATGTTTCTAAAATACTGGTGTAAAGCACAGAAAGCCAACAGAATCTCATCCACCTCAGGTCACTTCCCCAACAAGGCCATGCCCTCAGCTGGTGTCCTGCCATGGATCCAGGGAATCTTCTGCAATGCCAACAACCCTTGTTTTCAATACCCCACCCGTGGTGAATCTCCTGGCCTGGTGTCCAACTACAACAACTCCATGTAAGCATCACCCTGGGCGAGCAGAGGGTGATCCGTTTAATCCCGTGGTGCTGAATTCCTACGAAATATTTGCTCTCAGAAGAAAAATTATGTAATGGAGTCAAGGAGGATGTATTTAGTTTGACTTCCAAACCGCAACGTGTACATGCACATATATGTGAGTGTCGTTAAACTGTTGTTTACTAAAGTGTCTTCTGTTGTTGGCCTTCAGACTGGCTCAGTTCTATTCGGACGCTCAAGAGCTTCTTTTAAGTGACCCAGAGTTTCTCCAGCTGGGTCGCCTCTGGAGGGAAATGACTTCCATGAGTAACTTCATGGACACTCTGCGCACTCATCCCGAACAGGTCTCAGGTCAGTGCTCCGGGCTTTCATCAACATCCCACAAAAACATCAGAGCCTATAGAAGCAAAGCCGAGGTCAGTGAGTTTACTCCTAGTAGCTGCTTCATTGTCACAGGTGATAAATCTGCTCTCTGGATTTCCTTGTCAGAATTTTATATAAATGATATTATACACCTCGACTACAGTTAACCTCGCGAGCTATTAAGTCTGCTTTCAGGTACTACTTTTGTGTGTTGTATTGTGAAACATATGAGGTTTTCATATTCTAATCCCGGGGGATAATAACCGTCTAATCGTGTTTTAAACCTTGAATCCACCATCCACCAAAAACTGCGTCACAGTCACGTATTTTCCCATCAGTCCGCCCGTGTTTGTACAGTATAACACGATTATATCACATGGGCTCGAGACAGGCCCGTAATGTAAGCTGCTTACGTTGCCTTGCTGTTTATTTGGTGGGAAAGCAGTTCACGTGCTGCCCATCCGCTCAGTCAGAAACTCTGATCCCATCTCCAGGGACCCCATGCGGACTGTTCTCTGCTCATGCATACATGTATATACACCATGTTTCCCTGCTGGCAAAATAAACCTTTATGATGGGAGTGGAATGAGGCTGAGTGCATTCCAGCCTGTGAATGATTATGTCTGGCTGCTCTCTGCGCTGCCACTCTCATGGAGAAATATGTAGATGGACTAACAGAGCTAACAGAGATACAGATCCACATTCCAATCAAGTTCCCATGAGCCCCTGGAAAGAAAACTGAATCATGTTGAGAACCGAGTTACGTAAGTAATGAATTTGACTCATGACTGGTCGTATTAAACGGAAAACTGTTCGAGCTGATGTACACACTCGGCGTGCAGGGCCCTCGACTTTGAGTAAATGTGTGTGAGGAGCTCCATAATAAACGCCTGCTGTGTGGCAGCGATGGCACCTTGGATCGTCATTTTCCTGAAGTGCTCTTATTTGTTTTCTGGCAGAGAGCTGGCTGACAAAACCTCATCAACTCTCATAACTGTCTGCTAAACATGGAGCTAATCAGCCGGCGCCTGCCAGCACTTCTAATGCTCACTAATTCACACTTCACTCTCATTTGTTTAATCGTCTTCACAAAGGCCGAAGCGCAAAAACGAAAAGGTGCTGTTTAATGGAGGCTTTATGGGGGATTATTTCTTGGCCTTGAGCAGGTGCTAGACAACCAGTGAACACTCAGAGCTGGGCTGCTTGTTTCCAGTCATTATGCTGAGCTGGTGTGGCTGCTGATGACAGCGTTATATCTCATGGTGTCTGTATTCCTATGGAACTGCCACATTACAAGTTTAGATGGCTATAATAATGCACATATTGGCTGTACAAAACAAATCAACATGACTGAGCTTTTGTTTTAGCCAGCTATACATTGACTTGCCTTATATCTTTACCTCTTATACAAAAACGAGTGGTCATTTAGCTCACATCTTCTGTTTTTTTCCAACAAATAATCTTACGTAAAGTTTCGGAAGCACAAAATCAAGCTTGTTACATGATATACTCACATCTAATATACAACTTGCCGATCAAATGTCTCTAATCTCAACATACTTTATTTTGGAAACATACACGATCTCCCCTTCTGGCAGAAACGTGCTTTCAGGACTTTTCCATTCCGTTTCCATTCGTTACACTCGTCCCCTCTGGGGGATGAACATTTCCCTCATTTCCACTTTGTGTCTTGCCTTTACCGTCTGTGTTGTTTTCTACAAGTGCATCACTAAGCAAGTTCAGCAACCGTAGGACCTGGACAGAAGCCAGAACAGCACTTTGTCTAGCAAGTCTAACGTTGTTCGTGCACAGACAGGCCGCTGGAAATAGTGTAATCGTGCAGAGGTGGATAGTATTCAACCTTTATCTTTTTAATGAAGCAGATTTGTTGCAACTTGCCCAAAATATGCGTCACTAAGAATCCCGTTTTTTTCTACTTATCCAGTTTATCCACTGTCTGACTCAAAAGGAAATTTTGCAAGAACAATATTACGTTATTTAAAACTAATATACATCTGAGGACAATTAAAGTTACTGTTCTTTATCTCTGTGTGAAATCGCTCTGTCTCTCTCTGCAGGCCGAGGAGTAAAGGTGGAGACGATCCTAAAGGACGATGAGACCCTGACGTCATTCCTGCTGAGAGACATTCCTCTGACAGAGTCTGTGGTGTATCATCTAGTTAATGCCCAAATCAGGCCTGAACAGGTCCGTGGACACTCACAACCATGCATAAACAGACTGCCACACACACACACACACACACACACATAGTGTTGCGGTGCACAGTGTAGCATTTTAGCATTAATTAAGCAATATCTCATTCATTCTGAGATCTTGTTCAGCAACCTGTGCATCAGAACATCTGCATGCCAGCAAGTTGGTTTCTGCTGGAACGCAATTAAACATGAAGAGAGACTTCGGCTTTTGTTGAAAGTATTTACCAAGTAATGACTTGTTCCCTTCGTAGCGTTTCTTGGAACGGCTCCTCTATTGTGGCATTTGAGCAACTGACATGAAGTATTGATGTAAACAGTACAGATGTCAAACCACAAGCACAAAATATACAGATGGGTGACGGATGAAAGGAAAAACAACATCGAGCGTCTTACCAAGGTGCTGCGCCACCACGTGCCTGGGACTCTACTGGAGGGACGAACGCCATTCTCCCAAAAGATATTCCCTCATTTGGTGTTTTAATGATGTTGGTGGTGGTGCAGAGTGCTGTCAAACATGTTGGTCTAAAATCTATCATAGGTGTTGAGTTGGACTGAGATACTCAAACCAACAGGAGGGAAACGTTTCATCATAGGATAAAGGTGACCACCCAGAACAACTTAATTTGCAGTAACTCTTCCCTCTCAAAGGACAAGTGGACCCAAACAATGGCAGCAAAAAGCTTCCCACAGCACAACAGAGTCACCAAATCCCTTCACAAGGGTTCAGATTGTTCCTTTAATTTGTCACCAGCTTTTTTTTATTAAGAAACTGAAAGACATCACAGTGAAATCACATAAAACTCTACATCTGTATATTTGGTGTTCCAGCTAACCCAGCTACTACACATCTCCTGTCTACTTTTTTCCCCCCCTCCAGTTTGCTTTTGGAGTCCCAGAGTTGCATTTAAAAGACATCGCCTGCAGCCTGAACCTTCTGGAGCGATTCCTCATTTTCCCCAGCCGCCGAGGACTCTACGCCGTTCGCAACGCCATGTGCATCCTCACCCCACAGCGGCTGCAGATCATCGAGGACAAATTCTACGCCAACGTCGACTTCTTCAAAGTCTTCCGGCTGGTCAGTGTTGGTTTATTCTTGGATTTGGAGGGCTGACGTAGACAGCAGTATAAATATACTGAAATTACCAGAAGGACTAAACGACCACACTCAAATGCCACTTGTAGGTTGTGTACATGTTCTAAAGCTCTCTGCTGAAACAGCCTCATCTGTTGGCTTTCCACTTTCACTGACACAACCTCTAAAAAATGTCTGCACAATCAAATCTAATCCTTCCATAATTTAACTGGGAGTGCCTTTTCCAAATTTACACACTGCTTACAGTCTTGCCAGTAAAACTATTAAGCAATCCATTTTTGGTGACTGTATGCAGCTTAAAGAAATGCCATCATACTGAAAGTTGGCAGCTAGTTAATGGAAATAGGAAAGGGCAGTATGGAGTTGCATTTGGATACATCCAATTTGGGATCTTGCCATGTTGTTTGCAACGGGTAAGTTGCAAATAACAAGAGAAGGCAGGACAACGCTGAGCCTTGTGTTGACTGAATGTCTTGATGTTAAGCTGGCATCGGACGGTATAGGATTTGGCAGGATAATGTAAAATAGTTGTCAAGCAATGTCATAAAGTGTTAACTTTAAGCCACAGCGTGTCTAATTAATGCATTCATGTAGTTGGCAAATTGATAGCAGATTTTCTTAACGTATGTCGTAACCAACAAATGGGGAAACTGAAAATGCAACTAAATACATGTTAGATATCTTAATTGGACCCTTTAAAAACAATACTGATAATGAAAGCAAAACGTTTTAACAGCTACCTACTCATTTCACTGACTTCAGGCAAAGCTTTCATGATTCAGGGTTTTCTCATTGCATCATCAGCTCAGAATGAAGTCATTTTGTACATTTTGAGCTTCTCGTTTCCACTCTGGTCAGACTCCCCATCAGCAGTTTGTGCACGTATGGCATCCAGACCAAAACCTAACAAGCTCACACAAGCCTATTGTCTGACATGCATCACGTTTAAAGCCAACAGACACATTGGATAAACAGATGTTAGTATTTTTATAAGGGCTGTGACTCATAGGGCGGGACAAATATTTCCCAGGGAAATGCAGTGCAGAGTAAACACTACCTTATTCTCCAGTCATGGTGCTGAAAAAACAAAAAACAAAACCGAAATTCCAAAACAACACTTTATGCATTAGAGACATTTTACCATGCAACTTTTGCCACAGCTAGAATGTATTGTCTGCACATTTAAAAATCAGGCAAAGGTTAAAGAAACTTAATTACATCCAAAAAGAATGAATGAATTGTCTGTAAAAGACTAAATCCATAGTGTGCTCCAGCTCTGTCTACATGCCTCAGGGGTAATGCAAACAATGTGTAAAAACCGTAAGCATTAGCTGAGCAGACTTGGCCTCTTTCTGTAATTAGCTTAGCGTAGACGCTGCTCTCTTTAGCAATCAGTGAGAGTAAACATGATCCACAATAAGACGGACGACAACAATGGCTGACACACATGGGACAGAGCCAAGTGTGCTTAGTTTTATGTGCTTGTCTGTCTCTGTTTGCGCAGCAGCAACAAAAGATGTTGCCTTTTACCACCATTCCTTGTGTTCTTGTTCTCAAGTTGTTCAACGTCATTGTTTTTTTCCCCCATTGTGGACCACTACTGTCCAGCATGGTTACAGACACAGCCTGAAATACGACTCAGTTTATTTACATTCACAACATTTCATTTCAAGACGCTTCACTTAGTAAATATCTTACAAAATTACAGAAAGAAATCCAACAAATCCAAATGATTCCCGTAACTAGCAAACTGCTGAGATGAATTTTACTCACATTCCCCACTTCCCCCCAATCTCTCACCCACATGTATGGAGAAAGGAAGAAATGACAAAGAGGAAGGATGTTTCCACTGGCAATTCTATGTCTTGGCCTCGTGCTGCTTCCTGAAACCTTTAGCCTATTGTGTTGTGGGCTTTCTGAGCAAACCAGCAGATCCTCAATAGAAAGCAACGGTCAGGTAAAGATAAGGGAGAGCAAAAACATACGAACGATGACTGCAGTGTTCCACTTATTTTTCACCACAGTATGTTTACGTCGCTATGGATTTTGTCACCTGTTATTAACAGTGTCTGTGTGTGGAAGAAACGGGTTTATGAAGAATGTGGTGTCAGCTTTTGAAAATTTGAAGATGAATTGTGAAGATGGAAAAAGTCACTCAAGCATTCATTCATTCCTTGTTTGTGTTTCTCATCAGCTTCCTCTTGTTCTGGACAATCACTCTGAAGGCATTGACATTAACTTCTGGGTACGTGTTGTCTCTGCCGCTTCGGACAAACTCCAAGAGGTAAGAGCAGGCCCATGCAGCCGCAGTAGCTCCATTCAAAAGTTCACTGCTTGCTATTATTAGCTGTCAGGAAGCAGTTGCTTCCTTTTGCCTGAGTTTTTACGCAAACACAGACAGTAGGGGGATATCATTTAGTGCGTATAAGGAAGGCTAAATTCAGAACAGGCCCATTTAGCCTCAAAAACACATACATCATCATTATGGGACCATCCTAATGGGAAGAGAAAAAAAAAATCACTGAGGCTGCAAGAACAGGTGAAGCCTCAGTCATGGAAAAGGTTGAACAACAGTGGTGATTAATTGATCTGTTTGTCCTCATCGCACTAACTTTAAGTCTACATGCATTCCTTTGCTTGGGTGACCCTCCTCAGTGTGACCATGTTTTGACTAATGAAGTGTCTTGCTTCAGTCGGGTTTAACTTAGTCACTCCGGGATAAGCTGCATTCAGAGGATAAACACAATTGTCTTTAGCAAGCGTGACTTAAAGTTAGACTTAAGTGTCATTTGTGGTCTACCTGTATTTTAAGCATTTTGTTTATGTCTGTGTGTGGAGATACTGCTGTGTTTGTTGTGGATGTTTCCATGGGACATTCATCGTAGCTGACAGTCTGACATCCTGTCGGCGAGACACTTGTCTCTGTCAGGAGACGAGGCATTCCTCGTCAGAAAAGGAAGATCCCCAAAAAATCAAAACCTTGACCCCTTAGTTCATCTGAAAAAACGATTTTTCAACAAATGGTAGTGAGGCAGATAGTTTATCTCTCGTTAAACTATCTAAAATGGCATTAAGGGCATTGGTTCTGTGGTGACATCATAGGAAAACATCAGGATGAGCACATCTGTCAGGTTTCAAAATTCCTGCACATGATGCTCATCACTCAAATACACAAGTCGCTGCATGTTGTTGAGTCTTAAACGGACTACATTTAACATGTAGGGTTATCATGTGTATGGTATTTTAGTTTGTATGGCCCTCTATTAAAATTATGACACTGACATGTCGAATTCAAATCAATAACACGTCACAGGTTTTCTCATTTGTATATATTTCACATCGTAAGATCTTGTCAAATTATGTGTTTTGTCGTAGTGAAGTGGCTGCAGAGAGAGTTTTTACTGTAAAACATTATAACAATACCATTAATATTTCTCAACATATAAATATTGGAGTCTCTTTGATTCTTTACATATATGACAATGTAATACTTATCTTATGTGAATACATCTTTCACATAGGAGAAGTGTTGAAATCCACAGGCCTTCTGCTTTCTTTGTTAAGCTCTGTTGTCCTTTCTTATCTCGCTACAGTTTTTCCAGCGGAGAAGCTCCAGGGAGTTTATCCAGGTCATGACTCCTCTCTTCCAGAACAATCTGTCCTTCAGGCAGGTGATGGCTGCTGCCTCCAGCCTGGTGTGTGGCTACACCGAGGGGGCTTTCTCCAGAGTCACCTCCTTCAACTGGTACGAGGACAACAACTACAAAGCCTTCCTGGGTATCAGCAGTGGCTGGGCGCAGAGCCACTACACATATGACAACAGCACCAGTGAGTACATCGAGTATTATTATGACACAGAATATAATACGACATAAGAGAAGACCATCCAAAGGCTTAGAGCAACATCTGGTTTGGAGTCACTGTCTTTAATTTATGCGCAATATCGGGAGATCTTCATTACTTCTTCCAGGAAGGTTGTGATTTTGGTCCACGTTCTGTGTCAGCATTCTTGTTAAATAGATCTTTATGGCTTTGGCTGCATGTTTGGGGTGAATGTCATGCTGCAGAATTCATTTTGGGAGAAACAGATACCTCCCTGCTCGAATTGCATGATAGATAGGAATCCAAAAAATGTTCATTTAAACTTTTAGCCCACCTTGGAAATGTGTCATGAAGGAGAAAACATGTTTTTTTCTGAATCTATCATGCATTTAATAAAATTGTTTATTGTGCTTTTCACCCAAAACCCACCCAATGCGATACAAAACATATTTAGATGAGCATGGAAACAAATGACCCGTTTGTGGTTTAATAAGCCACCCAGTTTTCCTAACTGGTTGCCAAATTCTTTGTTGTAAGGCGTATTCGACAGTCTGCTACAGGTGTTCAAGTGTCTTGCTTGACTCATATTGCAACAGTGATTATCTAACACATAATCTTCTCCTAAAGCTCCTTTCTGCAACGATCTGATGAAAGAGCTGGAGTCCAACCCCGTCACCAGGATCGTCTGGAACTCCGTCAAGCCCATGTTGATGGGACGGATCCTCTACGCTCCTGACTCACCAGCTGTCAGGAAGATCATACGAAATGTAAGTAGCATCGATCATATTGTGGAAGAAAGTCTTATTGCAGACCAGAAATGACGAGTTTATTGTGCATTTTGGGGTTGATTTAAATACATAGAGGAATAACTGGCTTGTTAGCAGGATCAAAGACAAGTGGTGCACCTACAAAAAACCCAAATGTGAAAGACTTAAACTATTGAAAAATAAAATGAGTTGAGTTTCATATCATTGATTTCAACTGATTCTTTTTTTTTGTCACTCAATGACATCCATGTCTTGGTTTTTCTCTGGAGCATTCAGATCCACTGCAGTGAACAAAGCGTTTCCCCTCAAAAGGGGATCAGCTTTCCTCGTGTCATGTCCAAGCCTTTGTATCTAGATGTAGATACGAGTTGGTCAAAGCCCTTCAGGGGGGCAGCAGTCATGGATGGCTTGGTCGCAATGGAAGAACAGAAGTTGATCGGCTGTGTTGACTGCCACACAGTCAACTGGCGCCATGGCTTTTTCACTGTTATGTAAGCACTGAAGTCTGTCCTTAAAGACGTGGGATCACACACATAAGGACACACACACACCCACACACACACTCACTCACTTGTGTTTCCTCCTTCCCAGCCTTTAATGACCTCTTTGTTTTCCTCTTCCCTCTGATTGGGACCTTAATTGCACCTAGAGAGCACTGACCAAGGGGTTAATCCACCGCTTTACAAGGCTGAAAGCATTGCCCTGTAAAGTCAAGGCAGCCCAAGTCACTGTTATTTATATCGCACATTCAAAACAACACACGTTGACCCAAAGTGCTTTCTAATAAAGAAATACGATAACGTTACAAATTTACCTGACTGATTCAAAGTTGCTTGCCATTGATTTAAGCCCTATAAAGTCATCGTTGTCTTGCATTTTCAGTGAAAATAAAGTCTTTCATACCTTAAAGTGGCTTAGATGTAACTCTGCGCTGTTGCTTCCTCTAAAATGTGTGGATCTATGAAGTCCCTGCATCTGTCAAACACAAACTAATCATGCGTTTAAACATATGCTGTCATGCTTTACAGTTGTGTAACGTGCAGCACGCTATGTAGGTCTGTATCCTACCATCACTGTACTGGTCAACCCGCACTGCAGGAACAGTTCTGTCTCCAAAACATTATGTTCCTATACAACTAAACTGCTTTTTCAGTTATATTTTAAGGGGAAACCTATTTTCTCCTGGATTATGTTTGTTTATTATCATTGTTTGTATTGTTTTTAAATTATCACAACTTTCCAGCCACTCATTCACATATTAGATGGGGTGGAACTGATTAACCTGATAAACCAGAAAATGGAACAGAAGCTTTAAACACCCAGGTTGTGATATTTTCCTAAACCTTTGAACATGTAGTTAACATGGTGAAATAGGTGAGTTTTAAGCCAAAGCATGACATTTTCCTAAATCCAATCAACCAGAGGGTGAGAACAAAACAAAAACAAGTGCTGATGTATCGTCATATTTTTGGTCTGTTGTGTAGTTTTTAAAGTGGACCACTGTGGTGTACAGCTGACTGTAGGACAAACTGCCCCTCTGGGATAACGAAGATTACCTTGAACCTTGACTTATTCCTTCACTTTGCCTTCAATGTCCAACATGGACATTGTGACTCTTTTATGCTGGAAGGGTTTTCTACAGTGTCATAGCCTTACCTTTTGGGTAGAAAACACAATTCTGTTAAAATAGATGTGAGTAGGCAGTTTAACTGAATAGAGATGTAATTTCTGTGAGACTGGGTTGGTAGGGACTAAGAATTCATCTTAAACTGCATTGAGGTCATATCAGTCAGATTTGCCTAAAAGAAAAAAAGATATTTCTTCAACGTCATGTTTAATGAGTTAAACATCATCAGAAATAACTAAAAAACTAAAAAACGATTTAAACACTGACTGAATCTTTCAATTCTTTTTCTGTTGTTCCAACACTACTACAAATACAGCCATATACTACCAGTTTGTTTACATAAATGGTGAAACTGAGAGTTATTTCTGGTGCATTTGTTAGGAAACTTAATATTTCTTCAGTCATCTCAGAATCAGCAACCATACGAAGGGTTAACCACCGTCTCGCGACACAAATGTTTCATTTAGTTTAATAGTTAATACACGTGGAACAGAGTGTCTAGGTCCAAAGTTAGGCCTAAAACACGCTACAGCTTGGCTAGCTACGAGATCCTTCAATTGCCCCTTTAGACCAAACACCTTAAAGAATTCCCGTCCTCTTGAGCTGCTGTTTTAAACTGCCTCATGGAATGAGGAAGCGCTCACTTGTGGGAACCTGACTGGGATTCACTGGGCAGGCTGAATGCATTCAGCCAGTTGTCACCAACGGCCTCCATTGTCACCCCGGCTCCATTGTCCCCATTGTCACCCAAAATCAGACACACACAAGAGGAAGGCGTTTAATTGGGTGTACTCTTGAGTGCTTTCATCCCCCACTGCACATGACTGAATGCTGAAGTAGCCAGCCATGGGTATGCGGCACACAAAGCACTGTACCCACACACATCCAGGGTTTTAACGATAAGCGTGCGGTAAATATTTGACGATTTGGCATTGAGTGCATTTGTTGCGCAGTTGTCGGTTATCTGTGCGGGCCTGCGGGAACTCTTTGTGTGAGAATGTGTGTGTTGTCTTTACAAAGCCTGTTTGCACAGAGAGTTTAATGTGGGAATGGTATGTAGCGGCAGATTAGGAGATCTGTGACAGTGTGTGTGTTTGACTGTCTGAATGTTGTGTACACACGTGTACATCTGGTGTTTTCCCCAACATGTTCGTTCCTACTGTGTACCGCATGTGTGCAAATGTTTGCATTTGTTCCAATACTTTGTTTTTCACCAAAATGTAGGCACCAGTGAGAATAATTGTGTTTTTAATAATAATTTCTTGAATGACCAGTCGTGAAGCACCAGTTACTGACACACATTTCCATCCCTCCTGCAGGCCAACACCACATTTGAGGAGCTGGAGAGGCTGAGGATGATGGGGAAGGCCTGGGAAGAGGTGGCTCCTCAGATCTGGGCTTTTTTCCAAGATGGAGTCCAAGTCAAGATGATCCGGGTAGGACAACAACACCGGAATCAATAAGTTGAGACGCTTTAAACAGGAAAACAAATGACTAAAAAGATGAATGGACAAGATATTAGATCCCATGGACAATCTCTTTAATATCACCGAACTTACTTTATCTCAACTATGGTTGAAAATGACACCCACGGACTGGAAAACACACACACATAGCAACACCACTGTCTGTGAGACATAAGATACATATGATAATGATCTACCTCGTTGTTGCCATTCAGATGACATCCAATGCCAAACAATTGTGCCTTTGAATGAGGTGACTGATGATGTTGTTGTTATTTTATCCTGATCTTTTCCTTCGTTAATTTTGCTGAGATCTCTGGAATTTCCTGTTTGAATATAGACGCTTATCTTACCATAATATGCCATCTCGTTCCCCTTTCCATTTATCCCTCTCATTGTCACACTGTCCACCTTTCACACTTCTTTCTACCTCGATGTAAGCCCTGTTTTGTCTTCTAACCCTCCTCATCATGTTACATTCACCATCTACTTGTATCTAATAACACTGCTCGTGGTTTTTGCTGTTGAATTATCCTCTTTTTTCTTCTTTTCTTGCTTGTGATGTCTTGTTTATTGTTTTCCTCCATTGTCTCAGCAATGTTTTCTTTAAAAAAAAAAAAGGGCTCTTGCGGTTAATGGAAAAAAACTAGGAAAATGAACGTCATTACCCGTACTTCCTTCTGTTTCAGGACACCATCTGCAATCCATCTGTGATGGACTTCATTGACAGGAGTCTGGAGGAGGCGCCATTCTCCTCCAAACACATCCTCAACTTCCTTTACAACGGCCCACCGGAGGATCGTCCAGATGACGTCCCCGACTTCGACTGGCGAGACATCTTCAACCTCACTGACCGGGTCATTCGGATGCTCAACCAGTATGGGGATGTGAGTGGACGTTACCCAAGGACTTGTGCCCTTTTGCCATTTCCTTCCTCCTGTTGCAGGCTAAATTATCTGCCTCTCAAGCAGCACTGAGCAGATTTTGAGTAATGTATCAGCGTGTGGAATTATACTGACTAGTCAAAGAGGGGCTCCACATTCCAGATGAATATAAGGTGTCAGGATCATTTTTTTTAACTTTTTTTTTTTTTACCTTTTCTTGCTTTGGAGTTTGACAGAAGAATGTTTGCCGTTTCATTTCACCTGAAATGTTAAGTTCTAGGAAAAGCCCATTCATGAAATAATCCAATTAAGCACAGGTCCTGTCACTTGTTGATTTCAATACCCTGATTACCTAACCGCTGTGTGCTCAATACCACTGTTGATGTGATGTGTGAGCATTAAGATAAACCCTTAGGGCTCTACAATTTGTCCCTCAGTCCAGAGACATGGAAATCCTCCCAGGTGGGCATGAGCCAGAGCAACAAACTAGCTGTCGAGCTGCTTTTGTTTACCGTTGATTGAGTGGAGGGTTAAAAACAAAACAAAAAAACATCACATACCATCGTTTGTGAGGGCCCTCCACATTTGAGTGGGCCAATGCATTTGAAACAAAGTTAAAATTGCCCCTTTCCTTGCAGAGGCTAATCGGGATGAGAGGCCTATCGCACTGGGGGGTGACACGGGGGGTACCTGGGGGCATGGCCGGGTAGATGGTTGGTGCTTTTTGTTTTTGTCCAAGTTGAAGCTTACAGCACTTGAGGGTGACAGGGAGAGTGGGAACGATTGAGGCCGATTAGCTACAGCTGTCACTCCGTCCACCATCCTTTATAAAGAGACAACAATGACCGTGGGCTTGGAGGCTGGCTGGCTCACGTTGGTGGCATGCATGCGTATCACTCCGCTCAGTGGGGCTGCAGTGCTAATAGGTGAACGCTTGAGTACATAACAGGATGGCCTTTTAGATCTGAATCAACTGTTTTGGCACGTTTTACTGTGCATTGTGCCTGTAATTGCATATATGCATACATTTTGGATGCAAATCTGTGTTTGCGTGGCAAATTGAGTTTATGTGTGTGTTTTGGGTCTGGGAGGGTATCTGTGCATGCTCAGGGGTAAATAGCTGTTTTGGAGCGATTCCTTTTGGATCAAGGCACTCCCTATTTGCATTAGCTTACAGTGAATGGCTATATCAGACACGCTTTTTAGAGAAGAGACACTTCTGAAATGCCAATGCAAATGCGTGAGGATCGCTGTGACTCAGGCCGACACTGGCATCTCTGGAATTCTCACCTTTTGAGACATGTGAGGGACGGTCTGATGTTTTTGCCCAGACTAAAATACCTCAACAACTATGAGACAGATTTTACATTTTGGTATTTGTGGTCCTTAAAGGTTGAATCCAAGATGACTTTAGTAACTGCATGACTTTCGCTACTGCCATTAAAATTTTTCCTTATTCAGTAAAAAAATTCCCAAATCTACTGGATGGATAGAAACAATACTCTATACTGACATTCATGGTTTTAAATGATTTATCATGTTGACCCCTGACCCCAACTTGAAGTTGGCTTTTTAGTGGAATGTCGTGGTGAGATTTGATACCATGAAATTTGGTGCAGACATGAATGCCCACCACAGGACGAATTGTAATCACTCAGCAAACC